CAAGGTCACCTAATTCAAGCAGAACGGAAGAGACGAGTACACAGGGATGGCTTTGTTTTTCAGATGTTAGTCATTTTCTTTCCAGCTTGAATCAAAAAATCAGGGGCAGGCCCAAAGATGAGGGAGGACTGAGGCCTCTATTCCATTTTGCAGCCTTCATTCTTGAACTTCTTTCCTTCCCTAAATCCCCTCTCTCCTCCACCTCCTTTGGCCCACTGGATGGTAATGGCCTTTCTGGTTTGGAGCCAAAGTAACTAACAGAAGAACTTTAAAAAGTGTCTAAACGATAACCGCATTTGCCATCAAACATCTGTAAAAATGTGTGCTTGTGTGACCGTCTGTTTGTCTTTAACATTGATCTCCCCTTCCGAGGGTCATGCCCATATTTTAGTATCAGTGATATAAATCACCATTTAAGAGATATTTTGTGAGTTATTTTAGAAATTGGCAATCTGAACAATTCTATTAGAAAAATTAATCTACTGGAAAGATCAATCCAGCTGATTGTAGGGGGTTAAGTAGATGTAGGTCAGTTAACAACCTACACATTCACTTTTAACTAGTTTTAGAGGCATAAACTTGAGCTACTTTCCTTACCCAGTTTCAGGCTCTCCCAAAGCTAACTACCCACAAATAACACAGGAACACTGCAAAATCCTGGTATTACTGTAATATCAGAGAGGGAGAGATATGCAGTTATTGAAAACCATATGTTCACTCAGTCATTGATTCATCTTACAACATAATAGCTACCCATATTTCACTATGGCTCAAGAAATTCAAGGAATGCATAAGTCGGTCATGCCCAAATATCCCCTAGATTCATTTGGTGCCAGAGGCTCTCCTTTGGTTGGCTTTAAACACTTCCAAGGCAAGAACCCAGAAAACTCAGCTGGGGAGGATCCTAACTAATTTCATCAAAAACAGGAACTACTTACTTTTAAAACACTCATGAGATTAATTTGATGTAATAATATACCACTTACGTAATTTCCCAACCTAAAGCCATCTCAAAAGACATGGAGGTTAAAACTGAAAGACAAAGCAAGATCATCCAGTTAGGGTGACAGTGGGGAGAGGGGGAGAGGGGAGAGTGGAGGTGGATTTCAGAGAACCTACAGGTACTAAGAGAACAGTACCTGTTCCACAGTGTAACTGTGGAAAAATAGAGTTAGTATTACTTCTTCAGTGTAGATAACTAATAAGGTATCTTGTGATTAACCCAAACTCTTTAAGTAAATAATAATTCTTTGAAAAGAGACTGATACAAAAATAATGTGAAGAGAATTTAAAAAATTGAAGTGCTTTCTTATTAGTTATAAGATCAATAAACACAAGTATTCAGTGTGTTCATCAGACTCCTCCCATATAGCTTTCCACATGTCCATTCAGTTGTAGCTAACCAAACATTGTAACACATTCTTATGTCCAAGTTCAAAGCAATTAAGAAAAGCAGAAACAAAGTGAAACAAAATTGTCATTCGCATGGTCCATTTGCACACCAATTTTCTTTAAGTTATAAAGGAAAAATCTTATAAGTTTAGCATTTTATGCAAATATCTTCCATCAGTAAAGACTGCACACATATTGAACACAGAGCCAGCTGCTATCCACAAGAGGAACATATCCTAATCATGATTTTACAGACACATTCACACACACGTGTGTACATATGTCAAATAACTTCAACAGACATCCAAAGAAACATTCAGTCTAAGGTAGGATAATGTACTTCATCTTCCATTTACCCAGTTAAATTAAGCAGGCTGGATCTATCAAGGTCCGGGAGGAAACCAAAACCATCCGAGTGTGTACACAATGACCCACTTACTATCCTATGTTCATCAGTATAAGGAATCTTCTAAAGAGAAACTATTAAGAATACAGGGGCCATACAGCACAAAAGCCAGGAAATATCAGCACAGGACCTGAAATGAGCACTTCCCAGTCATGGCCAGAGACCACGTGCACCCTGGCATGGATGGTGGTAGGGAAGGACATGAACAGGACCGATGGGCTTTAGTTCTCGGCTTCAAAGTTCCCACCACATTCCTTTCTAGGCAGCCTATATGCCTATTAGCTATTTAAAACTTCAGGTCAAACCAACCTGCCAGCAGCCCATCGTAAAATCATTGACTACCACTGAAACTCAATTTCCAGTTGCCTTCATTTCATACATGCTGTAATAGACTCTCAATGGTTGAAATGAACAAACATAAACCTTCTAAGTTGTTGGAATTTAAAAGATGACCCCTCTGATGTTCAAGATCAGCAACACCAACGTATATACGTTTCTCTGTTTTGCAGTATGCATACGGTCAAATTTGGCCTAGAGACCCAAAGGGGTAAAAACCAACAGCACTGAGTTTGAGAGGCACAGAAAATGCAGTTTCTTAATCATGGGTGAGGGACTATGTGTCATGAACAGCTGTCACTCAAACGCTGTCATCCACTTGGCCCCCTGGGTTTCCCATTGTGAAAGCATGCACAGATGTGAATACACACAGCCATATACCACAGACATTCACCAGAAAGGCACAGATGTGCTCCCGCCACTGCAGGCGTGGGCCATGGTTTCCACTTCCCGAAGAAATATATTCCCAGGCCAGGTGCGGTGGCTCACGCCTGTAATTCCAACACCTTGGGAGGCCGAGGCCGGTGGATCACAAAGTCACGAAATTGAGACCATCCTGGCCAACATAGTGAAACCCCATCTCTACTAAAATAGAAAAATTAGCTGGGCGTGGGGGCGTGCGTCTGTAGTCCCAGCTACTCTGGAGGCTGAGGCAGGAGAATTGCTTGAACCTGGGAGGCAGAGGTTGCATTGGGCTGAGACCGCACCACTGCACTCCAGCCTGGCACATGGCAACAGAGCGAGACTCTGTCTCAAAAACAAAAAACAAACAAAAAAAGAAATATATTCCCAACACCATGGTAGTAGAGTGTTAACCCCTTAATGGTTTCTGCAGTTACATATTCTCAGACAGTTACCAGGTAGCATTTTTAGTTGCCAAATACAAAGAATACAATAAAATCTTTAGACATTTTTATGCTAAAAAAACAATTGTACAATAAATCATTTTGAAATTATGATAGTCTTTGAGTACTATGGATATAGGTACTTACTGTTGACTATTCTGACTTGCAAAATATTCTCTGTAGGCTCATATTACCTGGGGAATGTGGGAATTACTTGGTGCTGGTAGTACAGACTTCCATAGCATAGATATTTTTAAATCCTAATACCAAATATTTCCACTGAAAAGATGAAACATGTTTGCTGAAATACAATTCTCATTTCTTTTTTATATCAGGCAGTCATGCATTTATTAATTATTAAAATAACATTAAAAAATTAAGGTTGTTATTTACCATAAGAATGGTTTCAGTTCCCATAGACTTCATCTATTCTTAACCAAAAGAAAAGGCCATGTACCTCTACAAAGCAACTCGAGGTCAAAACCAAATGCTGCGTATGGAGCTGATGAATTTGCCAGACCCTCATGGTGATACCGAATTATCCCCCCAAAGATGGAAAAATACCAACCATACAAACAAAGTCACCTGCATTACTTGAATTTTTTACCAAATGCCATTTTTTCAGTAAAAGTAACTTAAGAAATGCCCTACCTTTGCCCTGAAATCATAACTGAGCAAAGAGAGTCAAAGCCTGTAGCTGCTGAAATAACCACTTTTGAGGTAAGTGGTGGCTTCGTCTCACCTCCTTTCAGTGTAACAAAAAAGCACCTTCTGGGCATGGCAGGAGCAGGTCCTTTGTTTAGAAATGCATGCAAGCCATGCCGAAGGTTGCCAGTGTACACAGAGACTCATGTTTTCTGCGTGGAAGGACTTGTGTGACTTGGTGATTCTTGTGACGTCAAAGGAGAAGAGCCATCGCCTCCATTTTGGAGACAAGAGCCCAAGCCCATCTCTCCTGGCGCTCTGCCCAGCTCGGCCCCTACCACCACCCAGGCCACAGGACTGGGTTGCAGGAAGGAATCGGTCATGTAAACAACCCCTCTACCTAGCTGCCTACCTATCCAGAGTCAGATTCTCCTCCACATGCCTGCTCACCTAATTTTCCACAGCTTAGCCAACAACAAAACATCTCCATCTGGTTCATTTTTCCTTTGCATTTTAACCACAGCCCAGAAAAATCTTGACTAGTTCACTGGGGCCTACTTTTAACCAAATCCGGAAAGCTTTAAGTGAAATGAAAGGTGTCTGTCTGGGTTTCCTTTATGTGGAAATCAGATATCCAAATATCACTTGTGTTTCCATAGGAAATTTTCCATCTTCGGTTTTTCACCGGGATTATTCTAGGCAAAGAAGTACCCAAATGCTTTCACCACCACAACTCCCCTTGAAACCACAGCACATCACCCCATTTGCTTCAAAAACCTCACCTCCAACTTCAGGAGGAGGCACAGGGCCCTGGCCGTGCAGGGGATGAAGATTGCACATGACGCAGCCCTAAGCATCCCTGGACTGGAGAAGCATGGGAGAAGCAAATGTCCCTCCCTGCTGTCCCTCATCAGCAACAAACACGAGGGGGGTCTGGCCGGCACCCTTGCCCCCTGGACACAGGTGTCCTGCATGTAGACATTACTGCAGGCTCTGCAACCACAGCACAGTGTGTCCACACCAATGCACATGACAGCTGGGCAGGCATGAGGGAAAAGAGTCAGCTGTCCCCAATCAATACCTCCTGGCCTCTTCCGTTCCTTCCCACCCCACCCTCCTTTCTTCCCCACGCAGCTTCAAGTCCACACAGATCTGGGTCTCCAGCATTATCTAATCGGCTCTCTCCCACCCCACTCCCATAGCCTGAAGAAACACGTAAAATCCCATCTGTAGGGGAAAAGTCTACTCAAGTTGTCTTGCTATGGGGAGCTCTGATGAAGCCTGGTGAGGGCATTCCTGCGGAGGGATCTCAACTCCCAAACGTCTTCCTGCATGTGCTCCTGTTCCTTTTTCTCCTCCCCCTCCCCGCCCCCTACCTTGCTCCTCGCTGCTGTCCCCAAACCAGGCAGTGGGTTCCTCCTCTGGGAGCTGGGGTTCTCCGCCACCTCCTCCACCCTCGAGGGCTTTGCGTTTCTTCGACATCTCTGCCCAGGGCTGGGGATTTGGGGGTTTTCTTTCCCCACCCCCTAGCCCTCCCCGCTCGGAGAAGAGAGTGAAGGTGGGGTTAGATGGAGGGGAGGAGGTTAGGTGCAGAGGAAAGGGGTGGGGAGAAAAGACCAGAGAGGGAGATGGAAGAGACTGCTGCTTCAGGAGGGGAAGGGACCTGGGATGGCAGGAAAGGCAGAGGGGCAGGACTCAGTGCAGAAACCCTACAATCGGGTCCATCAGTGTAACCCTACGTCTAGGAGACTGTTTGCGGCTGTTGCGCCTCTCTCTCTCTCTCTCTCTCTCTCCCTCTCTCCCCCTCTCCCTCTCCGTGTCTCTCTCTCTCTTTCTCTCTCTCTCTCTCTCTCTGTCTCTCTCTCCTTCCTCCTTCCTCCTTTTTCTTCAATTAAAAGGGTGAGCCGAGAGGGGAGGAGAGATCAAAGCAGAGAGGAGAGTCTCCTTGGGTGCCTCAGCGGATTTCTTCCCCATTTGGGGTCCGATGGGGTGGGGTGCTGTGAGGACTCCTGGCCCTGTCTCGCTATGAGGAGTGGTGTCTTCTGCTGGGCTGTGGTTGGGGAGCGGGGGGCAGTGTTCGCAGTGTTTGGTGAGGATGCGTTTTCAATGGGTTGCAAGGAAAATTGGGTGGGATGAAGAAAAAATGCTGCAGAATGCAATCCAGTGACGCTTCCAGGTGCTGGGGACTCCGGACCCCCGCCTCCCCTATGACATCATAGGAGCTTTTGCAAAAGAGACTGGGGGGGTGGGGAAGAGAAGAGAGTGGCGGCAAAGGCAGGATCAGAAGACTAGGGGGTCCTCTCCCCATTGCGAACTGGAGAAGGGCGGCCGGCTTGGGAGGAAGGAAGTTGCGGAGCACACACCACCCTCTCCAGGCCGCTCGGGAGGCACCTGCGGGTCTGGCGCGGCAGCCGCTGCGGTTTGCAGCTGGCGCGCAGCCCTCGCCGGGAACTTGGAGCTCGCAAACTCCTCGGGCCAAACGTGAGCCCCGAGGCTGTGAGTCCGCGCTGGGGCGGGCTGCAGTCGCTCTGCCCTGCTCTGCAAACCCTTGAGTCTTCCGGCTTTATAAACTCCCGTTTCTTCTGATTCCACGCCTCACCCTTTCCCCCAAGCTGTACGTCCACAAACACACCACACCACACGCGCACACACGTTTTCTTATTGCCAAAAAGGGTGGAAGGAAAGGACGGGAAGTTCTTTCTAAGTACACACACGCACACACACACACACACACACACACACACACACACACAAAGAATGGAATTGTTTGTCTGGATTATCAAGAGTTAAATAATAGGTAAAAGGAACTGAACTTACCCGCCAAAGTATGCTGACGCGCAAATCTGCTTTCCGCTTCATTTCGGGTTCATAAATTTAAAGAGTGAGCGAAAGAAAACGGAAAAAAAAAGCGGACAAGGCGCTGGGAGCACAGCGGGTCCAGGGTTCCACGGAGAACTGCGCAAAGCAAGTTGCCAAGAGAGCCCGCTGGCCAAGTTCGGGACCTGTCCACCACGCTCGCGCGCTCCGCTCCGAAGGCAGGTTCCAAAGGCTCCGGGCACTTTGGGGTGCGCGCAGATCTTCTCGAAAAAGGCGAGTGTGTGGGGTTCCTCCTTTCCTCCTTTCCATCTGGGGGTCTCAGGGAAAGCTGCACCCGGCGCCCTGGACGCCCATGAAGACCGGTCCATCTCCGCTCAAGCTCCCAGCAGCAGCAGCAACTTCGGACTCAGACCTCTCTCTCCAGAACATGTGTGTCTTGTGTGTGCGTGTCTGTGTGTGTGTGTGTGTGCGCGCGAGTGAGTGTATATGTGTGTGTGTCCGCGTGCACTTGACATTTGGGGGTGCATGTGCTCTCAGGAACGACTCTCCTGGCTGCCCAGAACTTAGAGAGTTTCCCTTTAAGCCTGAGATGCTGCTCGGACACCCCCCCGCGTCCAACAGGAGGCGATGACGTCTGTAGCCTCGTTGCCAGAACCGTCCCCAGGCTGCCGCTGCCGTTCATTGACAGGAGCGGGCGCTCGGACGTCAGCAGCCGGACCTTTGGCACGGCTGCTCCCGCGGAGACGGCTCCCACCCCCGCACCTGCCAGCTGCCCCCCCCCGGGTGGGGTGGTCACGAAATCAAAGCCACCGGGAGTAGGGGCAGGGGAGGGGCTGGGGCTGGGGGAGGGGGTGACTCAGATCTGCCCTCTTTGTCCTGGAGCACCAGAGTATATAAATAGTGCAGTCTCCAGCCACACTCGCACCCCCTCTTGCACGCCCCCGCAGACCCCCGCGCCCGCCCGACCCCCGCCCCTTGTCACTAAGCGTCCGGCTCACTCTGCCTGGAGGGAGGCTGGGGTGCGGGGAAGCAGGGAGTGGAAACAGACATTGGTTCTCTTTCCTCCTCCCATTCATTGATTCGGTTGGAGACCTAGGGCCGCCGCACCGGGAGTCGCAATGAATGGATGGATGCCCGCGCGCGGGGACCACCGGGTCAGCAGAGACGTCGCCGGCGCTAGGGGCGCTCCTTCCGCTTGGGGACAGGCGCCCTCGCCTTGGCGCGCTGGGGGGACCCCAAACGACCACCCTTGAGGGACCAAAGGCCTGCTCTCCCCAACACACACCAGGGGTCTTTTCTGTCCCTGCGAAGCTGGGACGCAAAACGTAGGGAACTGCGCTCAGTCCCCACACCAAGAAGAGTACAGATGGAGACCGGGACCAGGGCCTCAAGCAGCAAGGACGGTAGCAACAGAGCAGGGAGCGCCCGCCCACGTGGCCCACAGCGGGGCCTGAAGCCAAGCCCGTCACCTCCTCTGCGCACCACTGGCAGCCCAGGACCGCGCGCCCTCCCTTCCCGAGCACCCAGGGGCGCACTGCGCCTGGAAGGAGGGCGCGGCGGGAGGGTGCGTGCAGGGGACTGCTGAGCGAATTCCCACACGAAGCAGGTTCTCGGGGAATTCGTGGGCTTGCACTCGCCAGAAAGAGCTGCTGCAGGAGCGGCGGGATGGTGAGGCCAGTGCCAGACCCTGGGTGGGAGGAAATTAAAGGACTGAGTTCTGAGGCACACCAAGAACAGGGAGCAGCTTCATAAATGCACCCAAAAGCCTCCATGGGCAGACGGCACAGAGGTCGCTGAAGTGAACGTAAGGACCCGGGCTCTGGGCCAGGTGACAACAGACATGCCTGGGAGTGTGGTGACATCTGCGCAGAGCCCCTGGTGGTTCAGCCTGTCCTAGAAGGGCCGTAAGAAGATGCCAGTGTCTTGACTTTCTCCTCTGGTGCTCCTGGTGCTCATGCCCCAGAAAAGGCCACTGGGAGCTAGATCCCAAACCCTTGTGCCATGAGAGGGAAGCCCCACACAACTGCACTGGCACTCCCCCCAAATTGTCTCCTGGGTCCTTCCCATCACATACACATAACGTCGTGTCTCCACGGAAAAAAATAACTTTCTAACTCCACCTTCTCTCTCCATCTCCACCCAGGTTCTCTGTGCCCTTCACAGCAAACTGCAGCTACCCTGACTCTGGCTCTGCCATTTCTCCTCTCTCTGGGTCTTGAATCATTCCACAACACTTTCTTAAGAGTTCTGCTTCTGCTGTCCTGCAATATCTCACTTTTACCAAGGTCACCATTCAACCCCAAACTCTCTCTCCAAGGGCCCGTTCATAGATGTCTTGTATGACTTACCCACTGTAGTGGACAGAATCCCTCATTCCTGCCTCCTTAAGGCATGACCTTCACTTGGCTTTCCAGATGCTCCCGACGCTCTGCTGATTTGTGTCCTGCCTCTCCGGACATTCCCTCTGTCCCGTTTGCCGAAGGCCCGTCTCCCACTGTCTTCATGTTGCAGCGTCCCAAGGCTCATCCGGGGACCTTTTATTTTCCATCACTCCCTGCTCCCTTGGTGATCTCGCTCAGCCTCATGGGTTTAAATCTGAATACTAAGGACGCTTGCACTTATATATTTAGCCCAGACCCCTCCCCTTGGAGGGGACTCTGGATTTCTGTATCTGGTTACCAGCTCCACTGGGGTGTCTAGAAGGTGTCTGAAACCTAACATGGCGATCCATGGGCCCTTGGTTTTACCCCATCGCAAACCTGCTCTTCCCACAGTTTTTCCACCTTGGTGAATGGCGAGCCCACCCCCATCCTGTCTGGATTATAGCTGTTGCCACCTCCCTCAGCTCTCACTCTGCCTACACCTCCTTCACTCTATTCTCAGCCACATGGGCCTTCCTAGAGCCCACCAGGCACCCTCCCCACTCAGAGCCTTTGCAGATGCTGATCCTCTCCAGAAACTCCTCTGCCCGATGTCCTGAATATCTGCAGGGCAGAGTCTCTTCTTCTTTCACATTCTTTCCTCTTGCACCTCAAGAAGCCTCCAGAGTCCACCCCGCCACACACGGCTACACCGCCTCTCCCAGCACTGATTCCCACCCTTCTTTGCTTTACTTCTTCCACGCATTGCTGGTGGTTGACTTCTCTGCCTTGTTCAGTCTCCTTTCCCAGCACCCTGTCAGCTTCCTAATGGCAGGGAGCATTGCCTTTGCTTATAATTGCATAAAAACTATGTAACCTCATCAAACTTTCTTTCCTCTCACCACACATTCAGAAGTCACTAGATTCATCTCTTAGAACGTAGAGGAAAGTGAGCTTGGAGGCTGGCAAAGGCCATTTCTCTGCCATAGTGACCTCTCACATTAAATGTGTGTGTGTGTGTGTGTGTGTGTGTGTGTGTGTGTGTGTGTGTGTGTGTGTCTGCCCAAGACCACTGCCACATTTCTGGTGATTCCTGAGAAATGCAGTGACAATCTCTCTACCTTCCTCACTTTCTTCTTCTATCCCTTCTTTCCCTTCTACATTTTTTTTCTCTCCTTCTCCATTAGTCTTCTTTTCTTTCCTGCCTCAAGCCTGCCACGGGCACTTATGGGCCCACCCACCTAGCCCTTGGCCACAGGAGAGGTAAGGGGACCTTCGGGCTTACCTGTGTTCTCAAACTTCTGCTCCTTCCCTCCTCTCCTGCTTCAGTGGGTTCGCATCCCTTCTCATCAGCAAGTAAACATCCTTGTTTCTGGAGCTTTGAAGAACCCAAATTCGATGTCAAACATTTCAGTCATTTAATAACTGCTGAGTTCTAGGGCCCCAGAATGAAGTCCTGGGATTTCCCATTGAGGAGCAGAGGAGAGGGGCAGGCACACCATCAAGGTGTCGAGGTGCTGACAACAGCACTGATGAAGGCAGCCAGTGCAGGAGTCCCAGGAGCCCATGCCACCAGAGCGGTGGGAGAGAGGACCACAGGGGGAGCTGCACCCGAGCTGGGTTTGCCGGCCCTGGAGAAGCTCTACAGTGAAGGCAGGTGTACAAGGCCCAGCGGCAGGAGTGAGGGGCATGGTTGGAACACTGGGCATCAGGGTGGCTTGGCTGCCAGTGCCAGGCTGGAGGGAGGACAGACGATGAAGGGCCTTCAGTCCATGCTGAAGAGTTGAGCCTGTACCCTGAAGGGCCTCACAAAAGAGACAACATGCTGTCCTACAGGTTTGAGTTAGAAAGTTGATGAGTGGATCAGAAGGAGGTGAAACCAGAGGCAGGAGGAACAGCTAGAAGAGGCTGTTCTGGGGTAAGGAGCTAAAGGAGGAGAGTTCAGCCATGTGGGGAGGAATGTGGAGGCCCACACTTCCACAGTGCATGTGTAATTGCCCACCTTCTGCAGAAGAACCTGGAAATAAGTTAGACTTTGCTGAGGATTACAAGGTCATTGGTGTCAAGGAGGCAGACAGCCGCTTCATGCCAGCCCTCTTAGCTGGGCACCACTTCAGTGGCATGAGTGCAGTTTACAATCTGTCACCTGTACTGCACATCTGGAAACTCCATGCCATCAACTTAACCTGAGCAGATCAATGTCAAGGGAGCTTAGATGAAGACTCATGAGAGACTGATGTAGGAGCCAGAAGCCACCTTGTTACTTTACAGTGGGCAATTAGTCTTTGTGAACACTAGAATACTCTTTTCCTTTCCTCTGGTCACCTCTGCCCATATCAAAGATATAACTGATCAAATTACAGGGCAAATCTCATCTAAGCTATAGTAAGGGTGATAAATTTGTCACGTGAGCTAGGAAAGGCAATGCAGTTCTCTGAGATGCTTCCCCGATTTGCTCCATGCCAGGTGTCCACTTGGCCATCAGTGGCCTTGCTTCCTCACCCCTGTGTTACTGCTTCCACAATGACCCCCTACAACTTAAGGAGTTCTTTAAGAAC